TGGTCTCGAGTGTCGATGGCGGTGAGGTAAAAAATAATGTTTAGGTTTATGTAATTTCAGTTTTTGATTCGTTTTTAATCTTTCTCTAATAAAAGTTGTTAAATAAAAAAGGATAAAATAGAGATTTTATGTGATCTAAATGGTACTCACTTAATTTTTTGTTTAGGTCATGTTAGATACTTAATTATGAGTAGAAAAACTAACATGGGACCTAATTTCCTTTTTTTTTATTGGTTTTATTTTGGAATTGGTGATAAAACATGTTTTATATTTTTATATTTAAAAAGTAAAAACTTAAATAATTTTTTAATCTATGTGTAGTAAATCTTAAACATCAAATAATATGAATGAGAGAGTAGTAGTTAATTAGATAAATTATCGGCGGAAAAATGAAATACAATTCTAGAAAACATCACCAATAATTTAATTATGTTAGGTAACATAAAAATTAGTGTTATCTAAGACCATTTCCAACCCATTCCTCCATTTTCACTCTAAAATGGAATTACTCCATTTTGGAGTATAGGTTTTCTCCAACCCATTACTCTATAACTCCAAAATAGAGAAAAAAATGGGTTTACTCCAAATATGGAGTAAAAAATGCGTTTACTCCATTTTAGAGTAGGTTTTGGAGTGGGCTTGGAGAGAATTTTACTCCAAATCTTATTTTGGAGTGGGTTTTGGAGTGGGGTTGGAAATGTCCTTAAGCACCAATAATTCAGTGTCATCTCATTTACGCTGATTTATGGTTTTCTTGAGAAGCAGAAAAATCAGCTATATTACGTAACTATTTAAAATACTTATTCAATTAAACATCAAACTTATAAAATAGCCTACATTATTTGTTATGGTGAAATTTTTGCAAGAGAAAAAAAGTCGACCAACCAAACAAATTGTTAGAAAATCAAGCAACACTAATATAAACCACTTAATTATAAGCCATGATTAAACAAAAAAGGATCATCAGTTATAGAATTCATGAAACCATCAACGCCCGTCGTTGCCATTTAAAACTTTCTTGTAACGCGCGTACATTATACATAGAAAACAAAAGCAAACCATATATATGTATAGACACCGAAAACATGTATTGTTCTACAAGAAAAAGTTGCAAAACAAAAAATGAATCCTTTATAAAAAAATCAAATAGGAATTATGAATGACTGTTTATTTCAAGAAAATATAATCATTTACCAACCCTAGAAAAAAATTAATATGCATGAACATGTGTGTATAAATACAAAGCCACGTCTTAGAGCATTTCCATTGGGGTCTCTAATAAAATATCTCTTTT